GCAGATTTGGGAGGATACTTCATTAATTACATGCTTAAATGTGAATGTTGCCTTTAATGTTTTGCATTGCAAGGCATGTTGTTTATCCATGTCTCTCGGGCTGAACTGGGCTGTCAAATTTTTAATTGCTTGCCATTTTTTTGCGCTGTGCCTCAGTTTCCTCCTCTGTATTGTGGGAACAGTAATCTCCTGGCAGGAGTCCCCACGGCGCAACGGCAGCAGTGATTTTGTACATTCACCTGGCACTGTGCTGTGACAATGTGAGGAGCAGCATGTCGCTGCTGTTGTGTTACAGAGCCAGAGTGAACCGGGCAGGGCAGGAGGGGGATTTCCATCAGAAACCCAGGCTGAGGTGGGAGAGGGCTTGTGGGTGCTGAGTCCCAGTTGGGATCGGCTGGCCCGCGATCTGAACATTCAAGTCAAGAGACTTGCACTGAGTAATATGCTTGTACCTTATGGCTTTATGTTCCTAATGGAATGGAGACTATAGGCTGTAAATCTCCTGATCGTAACTCACAGCTAGTGATGCCAGAAAATCCAAGCTCATGGTTTTAAAATCATGAATTACTGAGCTTGGCTGTGTGGCTTTTATTAGCCAGGTACTCCCAATGATCTAAATGTTTGGGTCACTCCATAGGTTTTGTCTGCTGCTGTAAAGTGAGAATGCAGGTCGAGTGCCGCATGAAGCACAGAAACCCAAGAGTGACTTCATCCTCTAATAACTCCTCCAGTGCTGTCTCCCAGGGAACCCCTTTGTATTCAATTAGCTAATGTGTGCCTAGCACTTTGAAAATATAGAGTGCCATAGAATTGCTAAGTGTTGTTATTTAACAGCACATATTTAGTGGTTGCAGCCCTGTAGTAGAAGTCAGAAAATCTACACTGTAATTGCCTGGTGCTGCTGCAGAATTTGTTGTGATTTGAGCAAAGCCTGGGGATTTTTCTTCTGTAAAAGTTCATTAATTTTTGGCTGCAGACCCTCAGGGCCTACCTTTTCTGAGATCTCATGAAACAGAATATTGAATTTTGGTGGGTGCTTTAAAAAACAGATTGAAAAGAAGGGGAAGTATTCGGGCAGCCAGGATTTGTATACCTGAAATTCACCTTGGCGTGATTTTTGACGGTCTTCTCTGTGCACCAGGTTGCACTGGTTGGCATAAAGGAGCTGGGCTGAGACAGAGGGCAAAGGGCTGGTCAACTATTGCAATTGTTCTGGTGTAGGGAGGGGAAAAAAAAATCATTGGCAGTGGAATAAGAAGTAATGAGGGAGAGGCTGTTTGCACCCATCTCTTTGATTCGCACGCTCTTGTGTTCACCAGGTACCTTGATCTTTCCTGAAAGTATGTGGTTACAAAACTGTATTTGTGCAGACGAAGGAGGCTAGGACAAGGTACGCCAGGGCTTGGAGTCCCCCGTTTAAACAGAATCTGCTGACAGGTGTGCGTTATTTTCCTAATGGCTCCTTGCTCTTCGTGCATTGGAAAGCTATCTTCTAGCCTGCAAAAGTACCAGCCAGCACTGCAGATAAGGAAGAGTAACTACATGAGGAGAGGACAGGAAAGGCGGCTGTGCAACTATTCTGTGTAAGCACTAGGCCCGCCAGCTTTGTCTAGCAGTCAAGGCAAGGTCAGGTATGTATACCATGGTTGTGCTCAGACTGTTTAAATTTTTTCCTAGCTTAGGCAAAAGTCAGCATCAGTATGTCTCAATGAGAAAACCTTGGATCTGACACCGAATCCCTGTGCACCCACTACAGAGCCGTTCACGTGTCTGAGTCTTGCTTCTCAAATCTGAACAATATTTCTCTACCTCAATCTGATCTTTGGAAAGGTAAATGCCTTAACACTTGCACACAAATGCATGGTGAGAGGAGCCATCTGAGGTCATCTCCAAGAGCAGGGTCTTCCACTCCTTTTCCTGGCTGCGCTCGCCTCTTGCCAGGCAGCATCAGAGGCTCAGCCGTCCCTTGCCATCGGGAGGGCAGGGCGGGAGGTAGGACCAGGGCTGACGGATGGGGCGTCAAGCTCTGGAAATCAGCTGAGTGGTGCAGGCCTTGAATGGCAAATGAGTTTGTGTTTGCAAAACGTGGGTTTGGAAATGTCAAGTGTGGTGAATGACTGTGTAGGAAAGGAAAAAAACAAACAGGGACAGGAGCTGAGCCGGCAGCTACTGGAGTATCTGGATGCTCTCGCCCCTTTGCCCTCCGTAGCAAGCCTGACCTTACCAAATCTCTCTTATCCCATTGCAAATGAAGTGTCTCCCCCAAGGACGGTTGGTCTCCATCTCATTGCATAGGCAGCTCATGGCTCATTGCTTGTTTCTGACCTGGGTCCGCAGAATACTCTTGTGCACATCTGATGGAAAAACATTTAAAGGCAGAGGGTTGGAGCTGGAGCAGGGAGAAAGGACAGGGAGCAGTGCAAGCAAAGGGTCGCGTACAGGCCACGCCATCCCCCTGTGTTACAGAGGTGGATGCTTTATGAGCATGACAGCATCAGAAATGGGGTTTTCTGCAGCTGGAGGCTTGCCTAGAAAAAGATGGATATGGAGAGCATTGGCTGTAGAAAAAGACCAAAGCTTGCAATGACCAGCCACCACTAATGGGAGCTGGGAAAAAGCTGCTGTTAACATTTGAACCAGATCAAATTGTTGACTCCGGTGGGGGAGCACGTCTGGGTCTGCCTGCGGTCGCTTTGTCAGGCAGCGAGCCCTGGCAGCTGCCTCCATCCTCAGCGGGGCACGGGAATTTTCCCAGGGAAATGGGGCTGATGCGGGCAGGGGTCCCTCCTGAAAGCTGCGCAGGGAGCCGAGCCGGGGGCTGGGACTGACCCCATCACTCAGCCAGCCTGAGCAGACTGGACCCATGGGTTCAGCCTTGCGACTGCTCTGTGACTGGGGCAAATCGCACCTCTGCCTCAGTTTCCCCCATGTGAAGTGAGACCAGCGGGGCACATTGCCTCACCCAGGAATTGCTAATTTAAGGAGCAGAGCTTAACAAACCTGCCAGGGCCTGAGCAACCTCAAAAGCTTAGAAACGTCTTCAGGGGAGAAGAGGCGTGATAAAGGCAGGCACTAATTTCAGCTGCCTTGAGATTGGGGCGGTCTGGCCTGAGACTGAAGCCTTGGTCTGTGTGGCTGTTTCAGTACATAACATCTCATTTTCCTTCTGCATATAATGAAGCCAAGAGGGCAGTCGGACAGCTGCTCGTGTTGTGCCCCCCACAATTTGCCTCCCAGCTCTGGCTGGGGGGAGGTAGTGTTTTGCAGGGGCTCAACATATCTCCTGCTGCTCTGCTTGCATCCAGGATCTCCTCAGGCCCAAGTCCTCATTAGCCATCTGCCCTCGTTGCGTGGGTTGACAGGATGCCGTGGGTAAATGGATAACCTGTCAGGAAGGCAGGAGGATAATATCATTCAAACGAATCAATAGTTCACAGGCAATTTCATGTTACCTAACGTTAATGCGGTTGTGTCCAAAATGCATTTAATCCTGTGTCTGATCACATTCTCGTGGGAGTTTGCCGTGCTGGAATAGTCTTGTAACTCCATGTTTCAGAGATTTACAGACATTGTTCCTATGTGCACACGTACGCAGGAAAGATAAAAAATTACTTGACTTGCTGAAATCTCATAGTCCACAGAGCCAAAAGACATTCGTATTAGTGGTGGAAGAGAATGGGTATCCAGCAGTTTCAGAATCTATTACTCCCACCTTCTCACTCCATTTTAGCAATTAGCAAAAGAGAAATTAGTGAGGAAGGTGCCATTATTTCCTGCTAATAGGACAAGGAGGGCTGGACTCTTTTCCAGGAAACTGGCTTTGTCATGTAACTGCTTTCATTGACGTGAGTAGCAAAATAGAGCTCTCCCTTTTTCCTTTTTTTTTTTTTTTTCCCCCCATACAGTCATTTTTATACATCTTACCACTTTGCTCTTCAGAAATGCAAGAGGATGGGCCCCGCTCCAAAGCCCACAGTCAAAGCACCTTCCCTAAAGGCCTCCACAGGACATTAGGATGTCCTGTGAGTGGCATCTCCTCCTGGTACCTGATGGCAGAAAGGAGCAGAGCAGGATTGCCCTGTGGGGAGGAACTGCTTTAATTTAACAGTTTAAAGTTGGTGTCACCGAATTAGATATTGTGGTGGTAGAGCAACTTCACTCAGCAGATGATGATTGCCACCCAGGCTGGGGTCCAGTTCAGTATGCTCTCAGAGGAAATTAAAAATAGTAAAGAAGAAGGACGTTGGTGTCTCTCCAGACATGGGTCCCACAGTCTGGTGGTCTTGGTGGCTTGGGGATCCCTCCTGCCCTCTATTTGGATGGACAACCACTGTCTGTGTGCTCGCACTGTCTGGGGCTCTCAGCTGTAGCAATACGTGGGCACAGCAGTGTTTTCATGGGGAACACAGTAGAGATCTTTTTCTGGGAGTGCCTTGGAGAGACCATTGCTTGGGAAGTATAAATCTGCTAAGGAGCTCTGTAATCTGGACCTCCCACAACACAGCTGACCTTCTCTGGCCAATTGTAGCAGGTTGCTGGCTTAATCTGAAAAATATCATCCACCTCCCTGCCTCTGCTGTAACTTCTGTGTAACAGGGAACCTCCTGTCAGAAGAGTTGGTTTTGAAGCTGCAAAGAGTAACGCCACACTTGGCCGTGGTTGACAGGAACCACGGCTCAGAAATGAAAAGTTCCCAGCACCTGCTTTGGGAGGGGTTTTGGTCTTTCTGTGGAACTTGGCCAATAAAGTACTGGACTTGGCTGACATCTTCATTAAAAGCCTGAGACGGGCAGCATGCTGAATCGAAGCGTGGTTAGCACCCAGGCTCTTCCTTACCGGCCAGTGGGTGGATTTCAGCCCCAACTTGGAGGTGGTAGGTTTCACATGCAGGTTCTCGTAGCTGCATGGTCCCATCTTCCCTTCAAGGGTATTGAGTGGTTTTGAAGCTTTTGGTGCCTGTTTTCTTCCCTAATCCCATTTTCTGTTTTGGGCTGCTTTAGGAGTTTTCCCTCCAGCGCCTGGACACCCTGCTGGATGACCGAGTCAACATCCTGGGATTTTCCATTTTCAACCAGTCTCATGCTTTCTTCCAAGAGTTTGTCCAGAGCCTCAACCAGTCCTGGCAGGAGAACTGCGATCACGCTCCTTTTACTGGGCCAGCAGTAAGTAAAATTCATTCCCATTGCTTACAGTCTCCCTAAGCTGGAAGCTGCTATAGACCGTCAGGAAAACCTTGTGAAAAGAGCTGTGGGCTGGTTCTGAGCAGACACTGGCAATGCAGTGTGAAGGCCATGCAGAGGTAGAAACTCTGGTCTCAAATGTATGGGTACATGGTATTCACTAATTATTTAATCCAGATAAGCCCTGTGCTAAAGAGCTCGGGCACATCACCAGGCTGCTGTTGTACTGCTGCAGCTTGGATTGGCTTTCACGGTTGTCAGTCTTGGGCAGATGGCGGTCCAGGAATGGGAAAGAGGAACCGGACAGAGCACCTTAGCTGAGTTAAGTAGGTAGGAGGGGATTTGGGGTGTCAAGCTGTGACTTACCAGGGAGCCTCCTGATCTGGAGAATACTAAAGCAATCCTGAAAGCCTGCGGTTGCCCAAAGGGACCCTGGGGAGCCACGTGGGTGTAGAGGGCTTGTCTGTGCTTGAATGGCTGTACAGCTTTAAATTCAATCCTAATCTTAATTTGAATTATATTTATATGTGAGTGCAGGGGATGATGCAGCCCTGATTCAGTGTTCCCTTGTGAAATTTGTCCCTGTTTATTTTACCTCTAGGAAAACGGCTTGAGGAAGAGGGAGACTAGATGCAAAGAGCATGGAAAGGGCTGGGCTTAGGCAGATGCCAAGGGGCTGTGTTACGCTGTGTGTTCTAACATCTCCCTGATGAGTGTGCGGATCAGCACCGAAATCTTCCCTAGGGACTCTTCATAACTGGGAAGGTTTGCAAAGCAGACTTGCCACGCTGGGGATTGCAGGGGGCTGTGGCTGGAGCTGGGGGAGGGGAGAGAGAGAAAATGCCATCAGTGGAACCCTTTGCATTGTTTTTAATGAACTCAGGGTCCCCTTGACAAGCTGAGGCAGCTGTGTGCTGCTGAAAACCTCCTTATTATCACTACAAAGTGATATTAAACAGGCGAAATGAGGAGCTTGCTGCCCTTTGTGTCCACATCCTATTGGCTTGACATGGAGCTCAGGCCATGGTTAGTATGTGCCTGGGACCATCCTGCTCTCCCTCCTTCCAGCCCTCCCACACAGAGGCAGCTGCAGTGAGCTTGCTGTCTGCCCTGCTAAATCTCTATAGGTTTGCTACCAGGAAGCTTCCTATTTAGATGACGGTTGCAGGGACTGTTCAGAGGCATTAAAAATAAATTTCCTTCTAATAGTACAAACAGAAGACAGTAGGAACAGGAGTGTAGCAGGTGTGATGGGGAAATAACTGACCTTACTGTGCCTTCTTACCCTGTGCTGTCTTGAACAACCAGTAAAACCAGTAGGTGCAAGGATGCAAGAGCATGCCCCATTGCAGCTTGGGGGGTTTTTTTGTTTGTTTTTTTTTTGAAGGAGTTCACAGCTGAAATGGAACTGTTCGGTTTGTCAGCCTGAGCCTAAATCACCCATCGGTGTAATATTAAGTCAGCTGGATGCTCCCTTCATTCATTCATAAAGCATAATCAGCCATAGAGCAGGCTTCCTCCCAGGCCAGGGAAGACATGTCTCGAGGGAGGGGGCTCGGCCACGCTGGATCGCCCTGACCTAAACGGTTCCAGCCCTGCTGTCATTAGGGGACCTGCCCAGGGGCTGCAGTGGCTTCCCAAGAACCTGCTGTCTGGCTGCTCTGGGCTGTGCTGGGTAGGGTAGCTCCCCTTGTGCTAGCCGGTGCTCAGCTGCTCGGGAGGGAGTGTTATTCTTGGTGTACAAATGGGAAATTGAGGCACGGAAGGGAAGTGACTTTTCCCGTTATATCAGCGTTGGGGAATCTACAGCACAATTAGAAAATGGGTTCAGTTCTCCCAAATCCTAGTGTAGAGTCTTAACCAAAAGACGATTTCTTTCTGATAATGCGAAGGTTCGCTCCACGTTCATAGCAAGGTTCCCATTGCCAATACGCCATGTCCCAGGTGATGAGAAAAGGGCCTCGCCTCGGGTGGTGAAGATACAGAGCAGAGGTGAAGTGAAATATTCCCAGGCAGGGCATGTGTTTCCTCTCCTGTGTCTGCAAAGCAAATCCAGCACCATTTTGCCATGCATTGCCTCTGCCGTTGGAAATCTGGCAGGTCTCAGCTCCCAGAGAGCATGTGTCTGTGTAAGAACTTCCCCTTTTAGTCCTGGGAAGCAGATATCTCGTGGGGTAGCTCATACTAAAAAGAGAAAAGGAAGCTCAACAGCTGGAAGTGACAGGAGGGAGGTTTCCTGCGAGCTGCAAAATCCCAGGGCTTTCTTGCTAGAGCTGAGAAAGCGTCTGAGGAAGAAGGAGGGAGCTGCTTGCTCTAATGCCATTCTCATTAATCACATTGCAAAGAAAGGAAATCAGAGAAAATCATTCAAATTACAGATGGCTAGATTAGGTAATTAGAATTTAGGCTAAAACAGATGTTTGTAATTAAGTGTTTATGTCATTGAATAAAATCCAGATTGTAAAGTCTGTTTCACAGGATTTTAATGGTTTTAATTCTCTGTGTTGTGTTTGGGGGCAAAGATACAGATGATAATATTTTAGGAGGAAAGTTTAAAAAAAACCACATGGCAAAACCCAGACTAGCCAAACCTGTTCATATTTCCCTGGTTATCCGTTTACCTTTAAACACAGCCTTTATGTGGGAGATTTCCATAAATAAAAAATAAAGTGGGATGTTCTACTCAGCTCTCCTTAACCTGCTGTTAGTTTCTAGAGAGGCAGATCTGGTGTTGGGAGGAAGGTGTGCTGCAACCAGCAAGGAGCTGTAGTGTACCAGGGTAGAGCTCAGGCACCATCCCTGCTCCCAAGCTGCAGGGCATCTGACGGCATTAGTTGTCTTAAAGGCGCTGGTGGGAACCGTCCTGCCAGCTGATGTGCGCAAGGGCTGGAGATCTGTTTCTTGACCCTTTCTAGTTGGTGAGTTGTTCCCAGGGCGTTGTGTCACAGTTGTACCCTGCAATACCTCCTTAGTTCTCGGGTACAGCCTCTCCTTGCACAGCTGACTGGCATGCCGAGGGGAATGGAGCAGCGAGCCCGTCTGCCCAGCCTGCCATCTGCTCCCTTTTCTGGAGCCTTGTTCTGATGAGGCATCCATCAAGTGGCAATTTTTATTAGCAACTTTCATTGTCAAGAATCAGGCTTTAGGGAAAGAGGGAAGTCCTCCCTGAACCTGGGAGTGGAGGACCACTGCTGAGCTTACCAAGTCTTTCATGTGCAGCCTGTCGCAGAGCTCTTATATTGCAGAGACAGTACAAAAACAACAGGGATCTGCACAAATCAGACAACGCATGCAAGGAAGAAAATCAATTTGTTAACAGGCAAATTGGCTTTTTGTGACAGAGTGACAAAGCTGTGGTTTAAAATGAGAACATAAAAGTAGTGAGAGATTTTATAGGCAACGTGAAGAAAGTTGAGGCGATGTACACGAGAGCAGTGACAGATCCCCCTTGCTGAATCTGCCTAGGGGAAGTTAAAAAGGTGCTGCCTCCAGCTCTCTCTCCACTCCTCTGCCGAAGGTTATGGCCCCAAGGCATCTGGCTGCTCCGCATCTGTTCCAGTGCGAAGTCAAGCAGCTTCATTTACTGCACCACTAACTTAAGTGAGCCTGCAGGGAAGTGGAGTGGATGTGCTAAATGACCCACTCCGCATCTTAACTTTCTGGGCCGCAGGAGACAGCTGGCAACAGTGAGCTTGTGTTAACCTTGTTAACCCCAGTTACCCTTGTGAGAAGACACTTGCCTACCTATGAAAGCCAGAGAGACCAAAGAACCCAGACGAGCTGCTGCACTCCAATGCTGTGTAATTGTGAACGGTTTCCTCCGCACAGCCTGCATCCCAAATTAGCTTGCGGTGTTGAATATGATTCATTTTATAGGAGTTACCAAATGAATAGTGGCAGAGGGAGATGGTCATTAGGTGGATGGTGCAAGGCAACAGAGCAAATGCTGCATTGGGTTGAGATGAGAGACAAACAGGAGAGGGGTAGTGCTGCTGGTGGGGTTGCAGGTAGCAGTGGAGCAGGATGATCCCATGCCAGCAACCATGCGAAGGTGTGGAGTGCCTTAGAGGATCTTGGTACCAGAGGAGGGAATAGAGTGAAGGCCATGAACCTCCCTAGGTCTGAGTCCTGATGGCTGTTCAAGAGATATTGAAAGGGGAATCAAGGTAGGTATTTAAAAGGAGGTGCACGGGTCTGTTTACTTGCATGTTGCTGTGTTGCCAGGCTCCCATGCATCCAGGTGCCATGCTCCAGGACCCATAAAAAGGAGAGGCTGGAATAGGAGCCTGGTTTTGAGCCCGGTGAGGCAGGGAATGGCTGGCATAAATGATAAGCAGCATCAGGAATGAAAATGTGGTTCTTCTGAGGAAAGCTGTGATTTTTCTTTAAAAAAGGAAAGAGGTATGTTGAGGGCATGGGAGAGATTCCCATTCCCTACCAGGAGGACTTGATCCTGTGTATCACAACCCCCTCGCCAATCCCTAAATTTCTTGAAATCATAAGAGGGCTGCCAGAAATCCTAACAAATTGTTCGAGGCTAAGGAGTGAAATATTCCAATCAATAATGTCAAATGCTTCACTGAGATCTACGAGTCTCTTGCTCACCAGCTAATAAGAGATCATTAATTGCTCAGGGAAAATGAAGATGAAAACCCAGCAGGAGACAATTAAAAATGCTGGTCTAATATTCTGATTTGGTATGAGATGGTGAAACTTTGGGGTCACAGGGGTTGCGTTTCTCTCATAACAGTTTCATTTGGCTGACTGGTATTAATATGGTTCCTGATTCAGGAAAGCAATTGCTAGTTGTGTATGGTATCCTGTAACCTGAATGGGACTCAGTCCACAGTTAAAATTAAGTATATGCTAAAGAGCTTCATGGAACAGAGGCTGAGGAGAGGTTGTATTACAAAAAGAACATGTATTAAAGGTAAAAAAGAAAGGTAGGGAAAAGGATATATCAGCTCCTTTAAGTAGCTCTGGAAAATGCTTCCCAGGAGGGGAATGTTTAGGTCAGATGTGAATACTAAACAAAAAACCTTAGTAGACGTACCCTGAACAGAAGGGAAGAAATGCAGGAGAGGCTTGCTGCTGTTGCAAAGGGACCTGTGATATCTCATAGCTAAGGCAGGATAGGAAATGGGATACCCAGTTTCTGTTCCCACTCTGCCACCAATTCCTTGTGTGTCCTCAGGCTGCTCAGCTCCTCTGGTGTTACTGTTTACCTCCTGAAAAATAGCTGTAATAAAACTTTGTAGCTCTGGAGCCAGTCAATCCTTATTATTAGCAGAAAGCTCTCAATATATATGACCAAAGGTGCTGCCTGTTGCATGGGAAACAGGTCAGATGCAAGACTGACAGATGCCAGTCAAGTTGCTCAGTGCTCACTGGAGAGTCCCCAGATGCTATTTGTGTAAAACAGATTGCACTGGTACGTGCAGGAGGAATGTGATAGAGCAAATGTGAGTCTGTGCCGGGACTGGAAAAGTGAGAGGTTACTGGTGGCATTAGAGCTGGTGTTGGGGGGTTTTCTAGCATCAGGCTGGAATCATGCCTTTTAACTCGTGCCGGCTTGTACATTTTAAGGTTTTGTGCTGCTTGTTGAGTGCCTAATCCCAGGCCATTGTGGTCAATGAGGTCTTACCACTGATCTGAGTAAGATCAGGCAGGGTCAAGTCTGGTTCACTCTGTTCAAATTAGTAACGCGGTTGAAGCCAGAGGTTCATTGGGATGATTGAACTGGGTGAGATTGTCCTTGCAGGGCTGCTGGCAGAAGTGAATACACCTAATCAGGCTTTGGGAGGAATAGAGGATGCAGATACTGCTCAAGTGCTGTAAGCCACACACAGGGTAAGGTGGGGGAGAGGAGCCCCAGGCTAGAGATTGAACCCGTTGCTGGGAGCTGGGATGGTAAGAGGATGCTCTCAGAAGTAGCCACGAGGAAATAGCCACGAGGAAAATGTAGCCTTGATAGTAATGAGCTGCAGCGGCTTAATTCCAGCAGAGTCAGGAGGTGACAATAATTAAAAGTGAAATCTTAGTCACAACAGTGAACATGAGAGAGCAAATGGCTGATTATTAACTAGATCAAAAACATTGAAACGGTTGTGCATGGGCGAAAAACACTGTTTGCGAGGCTTGATGGACAAAGAAATCTGATTAAAGGCAAATGAAGCAAAGATGAGAAGGAGAAGGGACGAGCTCTGTGATTCCTGACGTTCCTTCAGCAATGCCATTACAGAGCAGGTAACAGCCAGCAGGAAAATGGAGGTTGCAGCAAGGCACTAGATGGTCTCTACGGGCTCTGAAAGCCAGGACTCCGTTGCATGAGAAGCAGATCTAGCAACACCTCATTGCTTGTGGATCTGTCTTTCAAAGCAGTGGTCTAAGAAGGACTCTCTGGTGCCTAATGAAGGCTGAAGCAGCACAGTCACATTTTCTTCTGTGGGTGTAGGCACAGGATTTTTATTCTGCCCAGCTGCCTATTTTAAGAACTTCACAAACCTGATGCTCTTAGGGGTGTTCCCCCTGGGCAGCAGATTGATCAGAGGTTACCAAAGCACCAAAAAACCACACCTTGATTAGAAAGGGTTAGTTACTTTAGGAAACTGAGATAGAAAAGAATGGGAAGGGACAGCGACAAATAGAGATAGAAAGGTCATAGTGATGGCAGAAACCCTGAGGAACAAGCAAGCAGAGACATAAAGGGTAAGGAAACAAGCAAGAAGAGAAGGAGAAATGTAACAGACTGGGAGTGGGACTGGGGCTGCCAGTGGGTACACTTGCCCCAGTGATGCCAACACATCAGCAGTTCAAGGATACCATTGCTTTTGTCTCCCTGTCCTTGCATGTGTGCAGACGGGGTGCAGGGTGTTGCTGGAGCAGAATGGTAGGCAAGCAGTGCTTGCTGTCTGCATGGAGGAGGCCGAGGATTTTGCTCCTTTCGGACCTTTGCTGAGGTTGTGGATAGAGCACTCTCCTGCCTGCTGCAAGGTCCTGAAGGTGCAGTGGGAGGCTCGATTTTTGTCTTCCTGCCTCCATTTTTTTTTCTTCCTTTTCCCCACAGCTCTCTTCCGCCCTGCTTTTCGATGCTGTGTATGCCGTGGTGACTGCTGTGCAGGAGCTGAACCGGAGCCAGGAGATTGGTGTGAAGCCCCTGTCCTGTGGGTCTGCCCAGATCTGGCAGCATGGCACGAGCCTAATGAACTACCTGAGAATGGTGAGAAGGGACTGAAGTTTGCTGGTGTGTTAGGAGCTAGTGCTCATCGCTGCCGGAAGGAAAAGACATGTATGTACAAGCTGGTGCTGGCGCAGTTCTCAAGCACAGAATGTCGGTCTGTTTGAAGGTAGCGCTGGGAATGAAAAGAGAGGAGATCTGAGGGCTGGTTTGTCACTGGCCTTGGAGCGACATGAAACTCTCCGTTTTTCAGGCTTTGCTGCAGATAAACTGGAATTCAGTGATTTTTTTTTTTTTTAAGTATGAATGTTTCTAAGTGGTTGGAGCTCTGTTTTGAGTGAACTTGAGTTGCTATAAGGTCATGCAGTACAATTGCTTAGAGCTCAGTGGCAAGTTGTGAGTTTCCCTATGAAGGGGATTGGGTTCCTTTGAACCCAAAAGTGTGGTTGCCGGAACCAATCAAGCCTAGTTCTGGCACAAGAACAGACCCTGAAATTTCAGCCTTGAGAAGTAGTTGGAGTTTGTCAACGTGATTCCTGAGAGCTGAGCTTGACCATGCAGAAGGAGCATGTTTTCTGAGTCTGTTTGGGGTGCAACTGAAATGTCATGAGATGAGGAAATTTCATGAGATCTTTTTTTTCCCCCCAAAGGAAGGATCAGCTGAACCTGAACCTTGTACCACTTTGGTCGATGCATGTGAACCCTGCTTTAAATCTCACCCTTAGTCAGAGACAACAAAACTCTTCAGCTTCCCTTGGCTCTCCTACTAGGAGGCCCAGTAGCTTGCCCTTGTTACTGAAGAGGTGCTCCAGCAGCAAGTGAGCAGTGGTTAATCTGCACAGTGAGGCTAGACACTCGTCCTGGCTCCGTTGCAACATGCTCTTGTGTTAAACGCCAGCCCGATGCTGTGAAACAGCACATAATGGTTTCTGGAGGAATCCCCCGCAAGCGATTCAGTGCGATGCAGCGAAGAGCTCGTGCCTGCCGCAGAGCAGCGCGGTGTTAGCCTTGGGATGGAGGGAGGCGGTGAGGGGCTGCGGAGGTGGTTGTTCCAAAGCAGCTGGAGCAAAGAAATTCGGGGACCCCCGCACCTTGTGCTGCTGATTCTCCTGCTCCCCTCTGCGTCTCTCTGCTACCCTAGCCAGACTCCGAAAGCAATTAGGATTGAGAGGCGAAGACTTGCATTGCTGTACCTGCTGGGAGGGTGGATGGCCAGTGCGTGGGGCGAGTGGCCACCACCCCCGGCTCTGCTGCGGGTGGTGGGGTGAGCCGCCTCGATGGGCGCTGTAACTCATTCTCTCTTGGACAGGTAGAATTGGAAGGTCTCACCGGCCACATCGAATTCAACAGCAAAGGCCAGCGATCCAACTACGCCCTGAAAATCCTGCAGCACACGCGCAGCGGCTTCCGACAGGTAAGAGCAGCCGTGCTGCCCCGGGGACGGTGCCCGGGGACGGTCTGTGCGTAGCCTGGTGGGGGCTTGGCTCAGGCTGCTGCTGCGGGGACCGAAGGGGATTGCGGACACCCCCCCCTCGCAAGATGAGGTGTTCAGCAAGTGACAGCACGGCGTGGATGTCGTGGTAGCTCTCGCTGGGCCTGGGTTGTCAAGCGCACCGTGTTTCACTTCATCAAGGACGTGTCTCGAGATAATTTAGATTTGTCTTAATGTATCAGGCGCCTGAGGTGGTGATGTTAGAGTCAGTATCTGTCCTGTCACAGTAACCCTCCTGTGCAGGAGATAATTCAGGGCGTAAAGTGTATGCCAGATACAGCACTTGTTCTTAAGCTTGTGGAGACACGTGTACTCATAATTATTTAGATGGGGAAAAGTGGGAGTCTCTCCCATGAAATGGGCAAAAGAGGGTACTGTGAACCTTTCTAAACAACTGCTTCTGGGAGAGAAATAGAAGGGGGCAATCCTGTGTCAGGAGCTCCCCACCATCTCTCCCCAGCATGCTGTGTGGGAGGAAGTGAAAGACAATTTACCTCTCAGTTTATGGTGCATGTTCCTCTGTAACGGGTTTGCTTATCTCAGACTCTCATTTGCTTTTTGTCTCAGCGCTTGTAGATTCCTCACAGTGTTGGTCCTTTTTCTGCTTGTTACCTTCTTTCTGTCCAAGGGATATTTTCTGGCTTCAGCTAAGGTTAAGGATAACTGTGTGGGGTCACAGATATCAAACTGATGAGATTACGTGACACAAGCCCAAGGAATTAGGGTTTTACTGGTAAATCCAAACCTCATTCAGGAAAAAAATGCAAGTCCCGGGAAAAGGGTTTTCATCTGTCTTATTTCCCTGCTGACAGATCCACACCTGCCCTTTTCTTGGAGATTGCCACTTCTCCTAGGTGCTGGCAGAGAACAAAAGCTATTGTGTCTTACCCTACACCAACAGAGCATTTTGGCATTAGAAATCTCTCCTGGTCTGGCAGCAGTGAATTTTAGCCTTGGCAAGGATGTTGCCTGCCAGTTCTTACCTGTCAAGTGACAGCTCAGCTTTGATGCTGCCTTTAGCTGAGTGAGCGGGGGATCAGGATGGCATTTTCCCCATGGTAAGATCTCTCATAGCACCGATGCCCTTTTAATCATGTCCCAAACCCATCATATTCTGAGCAAAAGTGACAGATCCAAGCCCATCTGCATTAATAAGAGCGTGCATTCAGCTGGAGCAGAGGAAGCAAGTGCTGTAAACCTCGCTATGACAGCTATGTTTCTGATGTGTTTAAATGTGGCAGAGAGTTCACGTTAAAAACACAGGTCCTCTTGGAGCAGCGCTTCTCCCAGAGCTCCACAGAGAGCTCTGACTGCAGCTTAATCCGCCCTGAGACAAAAGTCTCAGATCTTCTCCCCAAACCCGGTCTGACAGGAGAAAACATTTTTTGACCTGTTGCCACAGCTCGGTAAAATAAGCAGCTTCATGTTTCAGAGGAACCCAGGAAAGCTGCGCCGGGACCAAGCTTTTCAGATTTCCCATCAGAGCGCAGTGGTGATAAATCACTTCCAGTAGCAGTAACAAGGTGCTGGAAGGACGGGGCAGTCCCTCAGTGTGCGCAGCTACCTGCTGAGATCCTGTGGTGGCTGCAAGCTCTCTCCTGTCAGAAACCCACCACGGAGGAGTTAGTCTTCATAAAACTGCTCCGTATGCCTGCAGCAGCCTTTCCGCTGTCTGCCCTCCCCTTCTCAGGCAGCCCCCTCTCAGGGGTCTTGCCTGACTGATAGCAATGCCTGGAGGGGTGTTAGGGCCCCTCACAGGCTGCAAAAGTTTGCCATGATATGCCCGGCTGGGACGGGCATCCCTGGACGGAGCTGTGAAACCTGGGCAGGGTCCTGCCTGATCCTGCCTGCCCATCTTGGTCACTGCAAAGGGAAGCCAAAAGCCACTCTGCTGTGCCATAGATGGTTGTTTCCTTCTCGCCAGCTCAGCTTCTTGTAATAGAAATGACTAAATAAATCATTAGAAACCATTTAATTAAACCCACCTTGCGGGGACGGCGTAAGGAACAGACATTCATATCCTGGAGACAATCTTGTTCCCAAGGGTTATATTAACTGATATATGTTAACGGGCTCTTGTTTGAAACACTTCCATTCCCTCCTTAGTTTTAATCGAGCTCATGCTCTCTGCCCTTTTCTCTCTTTCCATCTCTCTCTTTCTCTCTCCCCTCTCTCTCCTTCCATCTATCGAAGCCACAGGGACTTCCAGCTCATCAGCTTTGATAGAGGATTCACCAAATTTTGAAGCTGATCCAGCCAGCAAACAAATTAGAGACACTTAGAATTTCTAACTTGCTGTTGCTTTTGGGCAAGGAGAGACAGGGCTTTTTAACATCCAATTTTTAATACATTTATGTAACGTACCAAACGTGTCTTTTCCTAATTTAGCTTAACTAGTGGAAATTTTTCCCTAGCCATATGAGAGCTGCTCTCTGTTCATAGGAAGCGCAATAAAGCACAGACTCATTAATGTGTTGGTGATCCCTATATCTGACAAGGACTGAGTTTGTAAATGTCATCTTTTTATTTTTTCCCATTCTTTGCCCCTTTAAAAAGCATTGCGGCATACCCCTCCAGTTTCAGCGTAGCGATTTGCAGTAAACCAAGAGCTCAGGTTTGGCAGCTTAACAGGAGAAGGGAGTGAAGAGGGGCCGTGATTTATGTGGCCCCAGGGGAGGCAAGTGTGCAGAGGAGAGGCAGGGGAAGGTGCTGTCGAGGCTGGAGCCCCACCATGGGCACGTTGTCCCCAGCTCTGCCTGTGACCCCTTGCTCTCGCCCGGTCCTAGGTGCGGCCTATTAGTGGCCGTTTAGTTAAAGGCTCTGCTGGCATCCTGAGACGGAGCAGTGGAAGTGACGGGGGTGTCTAATTGGTATGTTGATGAGATACAGATGAGTTACCAGCCGATAGCTCTGAGACCCTCCGCAATCCCTGCCACATCAAACCTTTTTAACTTAGAAGCGGCTAATCAGTCTCGATGGGACTTGTTCCTCTTTAGCTGTTACCCTCAGCAAGAGTTCAGGGACAGATCCTGCCAAGAGCTGAATGCCTTTTGCCCCCCAGGACCCAGCCAACTCGGTGCGTGCCACCATCAGGTCCTGCCGGGGCTATGCCAGGTGCCAATCATGTGTCTGAAGGGGATGTCTGGGGAGGAAGGGGATCGCGGGGGTTGCTGCGTGGCCTCAGGGGTGAGTTGTGTGCGTGCCTCGTGATTGTACAAGATTTAACAGTTGGTGCTCTCTGTGTCCCATGCTAACTTCTGTGGAGGACGTTTTTGCCTGCTTGCCTTGTTGGTATCAGTCTTGCAGTAACGTCCTTCAGGAGTGCCAGCGATGTGCAGTGTCCTCTGGGGGCTTTCCTTCATTTGTTTTTTTTATTCCCTTTTCCCTCTCCAGGCACCTCCAAATTCCCCCCTCTTTGGGCCAGTGAAGGCACCATGTACCAAATAACTATTTAATTGTATTTCCTCCTGGCACAGCGTCTTTCCCATTAGTGCTGACAAGACTCCCCAAACGCAAGGCTTGATGAGGGATGATAGCATTTTGTACCCCTTCCTTTTCCTGGGGACGCAGAGGAAGGGGAGGTGACGAATGCAAGCTGTAGGACAGTGCTTGCTAATCAGAGCCCAGAAGGTATCGGGGTTTGTTGCAGTGGTGGTCCCCTGCCTGTTTTAAGACACCTGTATTCAGGGCTGGCTTTACCTTAATTTTTAGCTGGGGAGAGGGGGTAGTAAGTACCTGTGATGCCTCTGAAGCTTATGGAGAGGTCCTGCTATGTTATCTCTCCCTGCGACCAGCTGCCATTCAGGCCTGCGGGGCACTGAGCAGAAGGCTTCATTAAAATCATTAGTTTGAGTGGTATTTTGTCATCTTGCACCACAAGGAGCTTGAAAGCCCAGGCATAGTTGACATGGCTGCGTCTGAACAGAGGAGCTGAAGGATTGAAGGAGCAAGCTGGGAATGCCCCACTTGCATTGCCTTAGGCACTGGTGATTTTCTACGGAGATGAGAAATCTTTAAGTGTCACCAATCCAAATAACGACTTTTGCAGAGCAGCTAGTTTGAGGGACCTTGCCTGCCTGTGGGGACGGAGCAGTGTCACGAGCAATGGCACTCCCTTGCTTATTCCAGCCTCGAGGCTCTTTGGGCTGGTTTGCACTGAAACTGTGTGTTTGCTCCCTGCCTACAACAAGGACATATAACAAGACAGCCCTCCTGCCGTGAGATGCTTGCAGGCGTTGCAGGCAGGACGGGCAGAGTAGGGCTGGCTCTCCTTATGGCAGAGGCAGAGGGCTGAGTGTAGGGAGGCACCGGGAGGTGCAGAGATGATGCCGCAGGAGTCTGCAGTGGGACCACACAGCCTGAGGACATGGAGGGAACTTTCTCTACCCAGGCCATGGGCTGTCCTCTGTCACTGGGTTGTATAATCCCTCTCACGAAGTTATTGAGCTCCAACTTGCAACCAGGTGGTTGTGTTGCCCTCGCTGCTCTTCTGGAAAGGTATGCTGTCACTTCAGCTCCTCTGATCATTAGGAGCCCTTTTCTAATTTTCAGCCTGTTTATCTCTGGCTGGTTTATATCTACTTATTTTTGTGCCAACACTATTATTTTAGCTTCAAAAGCTGTTCTACCTCTTTGCTATGGACCTCCTCCACCTGGTGTATTTATACAGACCAATCATATCCGCTACTAAAAAATCCCAAGTCCTAAAAACTCTTTAAGTCCTAGTCCAGAGCCTTAACAACAGGATCGTCTTATCCGTGTCTGTGTACAGCATTTGATTGTTTTCTAACACATTTTGCAGATGAATGTGTTTTCTGTTTTTCAGAGGCTCTTTATACATAGATAGCGATGATTAAAATCACCTTGACATCCATCTTGCAAGGGAGGGAGAGATCTGACGATCCCAGACATCCTCTGACACATTACACTTCAGAAACAGCGAGCAATGTGAGGAGTCAATTAGTGGCTTTATCATACTGCGAGGGGGACAGTGGTGAGCTGGAACAAGCCAGGATGGGGTGGAAGTACCCCAGCACATGGGAGTGTTTGGCTCTGGTGCTGTGTTAAAAGCAAGGTCAAACCCACTGCGCTGTCAGAGGAGGAGGCAGTCAATTAGTCTCAGTATGCCAGCAGGGGAGGGACAAATTTGAGAACAGTGAGGGCTGTTAAAATTAAAGTTAATCTGTCAGTAATCTCTGGTTGTGAAATCTCGGAGAAAAAAAATTAGGCAATGTTTATGACTGATCACTCGCTCAGAGAGGCAATTGCTGCAGAGGGTCTGTTGTTCAGCAATCACAGGAAAAGGCAAGCACCTTTGCGCAGAGCTGGGGAATAGAACCGGGATAAATCCCTCCTGTCGCACCAATGCAGACCCTGCGCAGGCCAGTTAAAGCTGTGCTTCAAGGACTCTCTGTCTATGGAGTACATGGGAAATCTCCCAGTTTGGGACTGTTCCCAGAGATGAGTCCTGCACTACAGTGTCACCGTGATGCTACGAGCTTGATGCTAGTTAAGTCACAACAAGCTGTCAAGAGAACGGGATGCCCACGATCTGCTCCCAGCCTGCTCCGACACACCGTCACGGTGCCTCCATCTCCCCATCTGTCAGATGAGGCTAATAACCCCCCAGTACCTCTCCTGTTTGTAGGGAGCCTCCGAGAGTTAATGCTTCCAACGCATTCAGAGGTCCTTGCCATGACAGGTGCTTTTAGCAGATCATTATTAATGTTGGCGAAGGGGCTGGGCTGACATCTTGGAGGAATAATGTGTGTTGTGTTATCCGCAGAGTAAACAAGCCCCCCCCCCCGGCGACTCAGCTGGCTCTGCCTGCACTGCTGCATCCCAGTGCCTCAACTCCAGCTGGGGAGGAGAGCAGACATTCACGTGACTGTCCTTTGCTTTCCCTGCCTGCTTTCCTTCTGCAGAGCCGCCGAGTGCAAGCTGTCCTGTTTGCGCTTCCCACTGCTCCTTGTGCCTAGAGATGAGGAGGCTGGATTTGGGACTCCTCGCAGACGGCCACTGTTGTAATGGCTTGTTGGTCGCTTGGGCCGGATTTGCACCGACAGCCAGGAGAAGAAAGGACTTGGCCCTTTTTTCAATGTCCAGAGCGATTCCGTTTGCCGACAGCGTAGCAGTTTCAGGTTGTGTTTGGCTCAGGTGTGCGAGCTGGGAAGTGACTTTGAAGTCCTCCAGCCATCAGTCATGCCAGAGGCAAAGCACTGCCAAGAAAAGTGACTGAGTGCATGGAGTCAATCCTGGGGCGGTGTAAATTGGCGTGCCTCCCATTCATTTCCAAGGCGGTGCACCCGCCTGGCCCGTAGCTCTGTGTCGCCTTACACCCACCTCTTTGAACGTAATAAGATTACTCTTTGACGGAAGAGAAATCGATTTGTTCCTACCACCCTGACAACCGTGGCACAGTGAAAGGATAACCTGCCTTAGACCGACAGTGCCCGAGACAGCTTGTGTCAGCGCGGGGGAACTGGGAATGGATTTGCTCTGGCTACGGAGGAGCCGTGAAGACACCCCTGCAAGTTGGGGTCACCCACTACCTCTTAGGGCCGCAGCAGCTCGATTCAGTGGTGTCAGGGGACTTAGGCTGCGGCCAGCAATCCAGCGTGCAGAGGGCTGGCTGAGACCCGGTGGGTGCAGAGAGGCTTTGCAGGAGAGAAAGCAGAGAGAAGGGGTCTCAGAGGGAGCTGGCCTTCGTCAGCCACCGGTCTATCCATGAGAAAAAACAGAGGCTCTTTTAGGGAGCATAAGAGAGTGAGAGCCTAATTTGCGTACTCTGGATGAGCTGCTGGAGGTGCTGATCTCCCTGCCCAGAGCTCTGAGGGAGGGAGATTAGGCTCTTGAAGTTAAAATTAGGTTTGTTGAATATTCCTCCCCCTGGCTGATGGCAGCGGCTGGTTGCGTTGCGTCACAGCTGAGTCACGAAGTCCTCCCAAGCACTGGGGGACTGGTCCCCACCATGGGTAGTGGCAATTAGGTTTGCTGCAGTGACACTGGCGCTTGGATGGGCAAATTAGGCTCTCCATGGAGCTGTTGGGTGTGATGAGCCTGAATCAAAGGGTTTGGTGGTACTTAATCATAGTACAGTAGTTGTCATCCATTATAGACGATAGAGGAGATAAGTCACGGTGCAGCACTGCTGAGAACGTGGCTTCATTTCACCACCTGCCACCAAGGTGGAGCTGCTGGTCAGGGCTGGAAGACGTCTGCCCCGCATCGGCACTGCTGCTCTGGGATTGCAGTGGAAGCTGCAATGCTGTGATGGTCCCTGCGAGGTGGCGTTTTCCTCCGAGGAACTCACAGTGCCTATACCAGCCTTTAACTAACGACAGTGACGCTCACAGGAGGACAGCAGGAGGTTTTGCTTGCTTTCAGGCAGGTGAAACCTTTGTTCAAAGTTACAGAGACAGCGTAAGGCAGGACTGGAGTTGGAGGCAGGAACTCCGTCTCCCCGTTTCTGGGCTTTCACTGTGAAATCATGAGACTTCAGCACTTCCTGAAGTTTTTCTGAGCTGTGTCTGTAACACACAGTGCCTGTGTGAAGAGCTCAGTGTCGTCAAACCTGGGTGTAGCACTGACCCTGCAGCACGTGCTGGTGGTTGGGTCTCACTGCAGGATCATGCAGCTGAGCCAAACCCCGGCTATAGCGTTGCCTTTCTGGCAGCCTCCCGTGAAGTGCCTCTGTGCCTTGTCCCCCTTAGGAGTTAACCTCCAGAGAGCTGAGGAGGTGAAGGCGTCAGCCAAAATGCACCAGGTTGGCAGCACTGACCAGGTCTTCATCCTGCAGCCATGACCTAGCTGCCATGCCTTAGCGTGAGGGATGGCAGAGGCTCCAAGCCGCACCGCGCCGGGAGGGACGAGCTTGCAGGTTTGGCTGCGTGGGGACTGCTGGGTAAGATGAACCCATCTTGGCGGCATCTGGGGACGCTGCAGAAGGCTGCTTGGCCACACGGCTTTCTCCTGGTGGACCGCTTTACCGCAGCTGCAGGGGGGACACATGGGAAGGCAGCGCCTGCCATAAGCAGGGTCAGGTTTTTGGCGCTGTCGCGCGAGTGGGGGTGTGCCAGCACTGTGCACCAGTGGGTTAATCTCTCTGCCGGCCCGTTGTGGGGGTGCATTGTAAAGGTAATGGAGCATTCATAAAAACCTCTTACAGGGCCAGCTTGATGGTTGTCAGTCACCGGAGCCATATGGCGGGTGTGTACAGTAATTTGCTCTGTAAATTCCCTTATTGTGCTGTTTATCTCTCCAGATCGGCCACTGGCACGTTTCTGAAGGACTCAGCATGGACAACAGGATCTTCTCCTCCAACATATCAGACAGTCTGTTCAACACCACACTCATTGTCACCACCATCCTGGTAAGTGAGGGGGTCACCTACAGTTCCCATTAGCTCTTTGCCAGCCCAGTGCTTAGGGGTGTCAATCAGCTCGAATATTATTCCTTCTTCCTACCCCTTTCAGCCCCCAGCATGCAGCATTGCACACTGATTTCATAAAGAACAGACGATCAAATCTCTAATTACAGCACTGAGGACAATCCATGACAGTGTAATTAAACTCAAGTTGATGTTTCATATGGAAATTATATTTGATGAGTTCAGAAGCAGCTGGGGAGAGGGCTGGGATGGGGCTAAGTTGCCATTTTACATTTATCTCTGAATGATGTTCTTGTTTTGCGCACAGCTGCTAAGTTGGAGGGGACAGTTGTCCCTTCTACCCATAAAATTACTGAAATTGGCCAAGATGGGTACAACTTTTATGAACCAAGACTTCACATCTACAGGCATCACTGTCCTTATTCAACAAATTCCCCTTCCATGTTCTGCCTGTCCTGTGATTTTTTTCCAGTACCTCTGCTCCTTCCTTGAAGGCACTCAAAATTCTGAAGAACTCTGGGCACTATTTCTTCATGTCCCACAAAGTTTGTTGAAAAGGGGGACAAACTGAAGAAGTGGCTATATGCCAAGAGAGGCTGGGACCTGTATGTCCTGCCATAACTCGGAGCAGTCACTGGGATGCTCTGGCATATGCCAGTTGGAAACGGCCCCCAAAGCGTGATCCTTTAGCTCTGCTTCGTATCCTAAACTGGGATAACTCTGCTGCACCTCCAGCCCATCTCTGACACAGCAGGGACCAATGAATACCAGTGTAGAAACAGCTCTGTTAGCTTTACACCACCTGGGTTCCCAAGTGATTAAACCAGCTTTTTGTATCTCTTACACCCTGGTCGAGGGGGATATATCGGGATGGGAAGATTTGGCCTGGGTGCCCCTTATATGAGCCTCTGCCATCCCGGTGCTACCAGGGAGCCCACTGCCCTCTCTGCCCTGTGCTCGGCACCGTGCTGGTGGGACGCCTCGGCTAAGATGGGAATGACAGCTGCCCAGTTTCAATGCAGGAAAACCCTTACTTAATGCTGAAGTGGAACCATCAGGAGCTGGAAGGCAATGACCGCTACGAGGGCTTCTGCGTGGACATGCTGAAGGAGCTGGCAGAGATCCTGCGTTTCAACTATAAGATCCACCTCGTTGGCGATGGTGTGTATGGAGTCCCTGAGGCAAATGGCACGTGGACAGGGATGGTCGGGGAGCTGATTGCTCGGGTAAGTGAATTAGCTGCTCTTTTTAACTGTGCTCTAGTGGGACTTGGCAATGAAAAGCCCTGATGCTTTATTAAGTGCTCCAGGATGATAAGGATGGATGGGGGTTTTAGTCCATTTGTGAGACTTTGACCAGAGGATCTCTGTTTAACGTGTTCTCCAAATGGCAAACGTATTTGTTGTGTTGATGTGACAGCGTGTGAAGTAGTCAGAGCAGGAGCCAGGGCCCCAGGCGCTCTCAGGGGTGCTCACTTTGTTGGAAGGGAGGCCTGGGCTCCGGGGTCCCTGCGTAAGAGCTCGAAGCAGAATGGATTATTTTTTTTCACAGTGGAAATATTAATGAAAACTTGAAACAGGAAAATATGCAGGCTCTGGCAGGGGTTGGTAGAAGCTGAAGAAAAATTACAAAACCACACTGTTTGGGAGGGAAACAAGTAAGAATTGCATTTCTACCCAGAAAAGTTTTGGCAGATTGATTTCAGCTCCTTAACTTTGAGTATGGTTTTTGGAGAAGAACATTTCTTGTTTGCTTGAAGCGTGTGGATTGAGGTCTTTTCACAGCTCTGCTTTGCAGTGTTGCCGCACAGCACCTAGACTGAAAGCTGAATGCTTTTGCTGCGTTTGACAACAATTCTGTGTACGTGTGTGCTCAGTCAACCTGTACCTCCCTCCCTGCTCTTTGTGTTCCTCCGCAGCTAAAGGTAGTCCTTCCCCAGGGACCCTGAAGCTTAAATACAGTTCACGAAATGCTCCGAGATCCTTAGTAAAATAGGCTTAGCCAAAGCTAACATTAAGATTGATGTTATTTAAACCAATACTTCTTCACTCACCGATTTCTACGCTGCCTTGTTATTACCAGAGTGCCTGTGAGAACCCAGCGACAGTTTCTCAGCTGGTGGCAAATCCACAGTGAGGTGTATTTATGATAATCCACACCACTGTGTGAGAGGAGCCCCTGAGCCACCCCATCATTATCCTCACAATAGTGGCACATCCTCCTGCAAAGCGGAGGAACGAGGGCCTGAATCCCTCCCCTGCGGCTCCAGGCAGGAGTCTGGGGCTCCTGCTGCAGCTTTCCTCCCAGCTGCGGGATACGAGTGAGCATCTCTAGAAGATGCCCGCCGGCATCTGTCTGCTTCTTCCCCGGATGGCAAAGGGGACCTGGCTGACGCTCGTCCTACCTTAGGAGCTTCAACTGAGTGTCTAAAGTCAGGTGGGACAACTCTAGGTCTAAAAGACTTGCTGAGGGTCAGGAACAGGGTACGGTACGGACTGGAGGTCCCTCCTGAGCTAGCGCCCTGTCTCCTGGGTCGCCCTTCCCCGGCAGAGTGATAGCTCTCGACGCCAGCTGAGATCCCACCTCCGTCTGCTTCTTCTAAAGAGCCTTCTGTACGGTTGTTTGCAAATGCTCTGGGCTATTGGCATAGTTTTTATACATATCTTTCTTTGTGTATATATATACACACACACACAATTACAGTTCTGCAACGTTTCTTTTGGGAGGCAAGAAGGAAGGCGCAGAGAGCAGCGTGTGATCTATGCAAACAAAGGAAGGGAACAGCCATCAAATTTTTGGCCTGCTAACCTTGGCAGTGCCTCTCCATTAAAATGGGAGCTTCTAGAGGGTTGTTTTTCTTTAGTGGTAAGCGTTTTAACTTCATCTTCACATGGAAACCAATTGTTTCTTCTGCAGCTCGAGCCTTATTTGGGAGGATTTTTACTTCTGCTTCAGCAGGGCAGAGCTGGCAAAGCCTGTGTGAGGCTGAATCAAAAATTGGAGAAAAGAAAAAGCTTTCTCTGCTTTGTTGTTCCTAGGGCCTTTAGAGTCATTATAATGGCTTCAGCGAGTTTTTGATCAGTCCCAGGGACTGGCACTTTGGATCGGGTCAGCTAGGGCAGAGCTGCCCGTGTGCATGCTGTTGTGTTTATTCAGGGCTGCTGGGGACGTTGCTTTCTGAGATCATGTCACCGCCCAAGGGGTTCTTCTTCTTCCTTGACAGTCAGCCCCCAAGGGGGTTTGTCCTCGGTTCCAGCCCGTTGTTCATTCCCTATCCCACTTCAGGACCACTCGAAGCAGAAGAGCCAGCAGATCCTGTGTTGGGTGCACACATTCCTTTCACTGGATTTATCCCTCGGGCACCTTTCTCTATACAGCCTTCAGCACAGAGAGGGCATCAGTTGGGACACAAACCTATCACAGGGGTCAAAACTTCCCAAATCCTACACAAAAGAAAAGCTCTGCACGTGTCTCTCTGTGCAGTGCTGTATTATTGCAGGAAAGTGATCCTTCCTTGACCCTGATCAGCTGTTAGAAAGTAAGGTTTGACTCACATGCACTTAGTGTGCAGGGCAAGAAGGTCAGAAAATTATCCAGCTCCATGCAATACCTTTCCTGGTTTTTTTGTTTGGTTTTTTTTGTAATCCCCCTGTGGCCCTGAATATCCTCAGAGCAACTATAGGCTATATGGGAAAAGTGTTTCATTTTATTGCTTCTAAATTAACTAGCTATTGATTTATTCTTACGTGTTGAAAATTCTATTACAGCTAATTGTGCACTATGATATGATTGAGAAGGATGCAATATAAACATAAATTTGTTGTTGACCTAAATTTACCAGTACATATCTTATCGACCTGCTCACAAAAATAATTAAGAGCTGAGGAAGAGGGGGACTGGAATGGCTTGGGGGATTAGTGGAAGAGCTGTAGAGACTCCTGTGTCTAGGTCAGCAATCTGACTTGTCATCAGATCAGGAAACCTGTACACTTTGTGATCAGCCAGTGGAGATTGGGCTTGGGAGAAATCACTTGGAAGGACTCGAGCCCATTCTTCAGTGAAAGATGTCACAAACTCAGAAAATGCTGAGCTAATTGGTCCCTCTGTGCATGCAGGGCAGGGAGGCTGAACACCCTGCTCATTCCTTGAGTGAGCAGGGGAGTAAAGCTGCTCTCCGGCCGGGGCAGATTTCCCCCGTTAGCCTTGCTGGTTCTCGTGCAGACGACTGCAGGCTCCAGCGGTTCGGCTGACACCGTACACGCGTGCTATCCATAACAAGCAAACAAGGGGGAACAGCAAATCTTCCCGTCTCCTATTCTTTGGCGTCAAAGCCTTAGGGGACAATAGGGCTGGAAGAATTACGTCTTGCTCCTTGCCGCTGCAGTACAGTCTCTGGCTCAGAGTCCCTGATGGTTGTCTGGTCTTCCCTTTCTCTCTCTCTCCAGCTCATCCTCAAGCTGAAATGAATTTGCTAGTCTGATACGAGCCACTGAATGTATTTTCATGGCAACGAGATAGCCTTCTCCTTGTTCCACCACGCCTGCACTTGCTGTCTTGGTAGCGTGGTGCCCTGGTGGCTGTGCTCAGTGCCTGTACATTGGCTCACAGCAAGCCATTGGCACTCGGCTCCCTTGCTTCTCCCTGAGGAGATGGGCTTGTGTCTGAGAGATCCCTCAGCAACAGTTTCTGATTTTACCCATCTCAGGAATGTCCCTGGAGAATATTGCTGAGCTAAAAGGAGATGGCGTGGTTTGGTTTTGCCAGGAAGCTTTGTTGGCAGGAATCTGATGCTGTAGTTTTGCTAAAAGATCTCCCAGGAACCTCCCTCCGATACACCCGGGATCAGGACCCTGTCTGATGCACTAGGTGACTGTCCCCTCTGCCGAGGACCTGTCCCACTCCCCTGCGGCAGGCTGCAGGGGACGGGAAGGACAAAGCAGCCCCAGCAGGAGCACACTTTGTGCAGACTGGCCGTGTGTTTTGTGCAGCCTGAATCAGCTGCCCAGGCTTCCTTCAGCATTGTTTAAATAACATATCACGTTTGGTGATGGTAACACAGCAGATCCGTGAGTGTTTTGAGGGCAAGCACATCTGGGCGAGCCTGGTGCTGCTGTAGAAGGTGCCTTAGGGTGCACAGAGTGAGGAGGGGGTGATTGGGGACAGCAAGCTCCTGCTCTCCCCTTCTGCACAGGATCATTTGGGGAGTGAGACGTTGTGGAATAATGCCGGACCTTTGGCATCTGCATCGGTGGTTTGAATCTGGCCGAGATCACTGGTGATCAAAGTTCTTTTTAAAGTGAGGGAAATGAAGCTGTCCATCTCGTGGAAGGGTCTGGCCTCAGGAACAGCAACACCAAGAACTGAAAGGACCCTAAAGCTTTGGGGTGATGGTTTTTCCAGCTTCCTTGCTGGTGACCAGGTGGTGCTTTACAATCAGAGGCCCTCTCTTTTCAACTGCTCCAAAGATGGGGAATGACAGGAAGGGGAAAGAAGGAAGAAGATATTTCAAAATTGGCAGAGTCCTGCCTTCCACTCGGCAGTGGGTGTCGGTGTTCAGTGAGAAAAGCTGTGCGTGGGTGAAAGGAGGGAGGGGGAGTCTGTTTGCACGCTATCGCGCTGGCAAGTGTGACATGGGGGGGCTCGAGAGGGTGGGGAGCGAGGGGGAGTGTGGAAGTGAGGAGGCGTGGGTTGTTGAGCAAACACAGCGAGGGTACGGGCAGAGAGGTTTGCATTGCGCTGTTGATTTTGCCAAAATCACACACAAGATGGTGGGTGTGGTGTGAGGTGGTTAGGTCTCACTGCTGTTCTCTGCGGGCTTAGGGTTCCCATTCCTGGTGCTTCACCTTAACTGGCTTTTGCCATGGGCATGGTGAACACCTGGCACAGACTTTTTCTTCCCAGTCCTAGAGACAGTCCAGGTGAAGAAAGACGGGTGGAGGCAGACTTGAGGCTGACATCTGCACTGATTGCTGGTCATCCTATGCCTGACTGTGGCTTAAATGGAGGGCAGCAGCCTCCAGGGTTTTCAGGCTGTCACTTTTCATATCGCTGAATTCATGCATGTCCTTAAAAAAAACCCCAAACCCGCCAGTTTTGAGTGACCCTCATCTGGCCCTGCTTTTAAATGCAAGAATATGCATCCGAGCACACAACCTGGCTGCCGCTCGCTCCATCAGGAGGAGCTGCACAACCTGAAATAGCTCCTGTCAAATCAGATGGACAGCTGGAGCAGAAGCAATCAGTACATTGATCCGGCAGCCGAGCCGTACCTGTCGTGCCGTGGGACAGATCTGCAGATGCAGAGAGACTGCTCTGTCATTGCCACGGTGGTGCGGGAGCCGCTGCCCAGGTGAGCAGGCTGCAGCCAAACTGCCATGCAGTGGCTGCTGCTGATTTCGCAGAATAGCAGAGATCTTCTGGAGATCATCCAGTCCAACCCCTGGCGCAAAACAGGGTCACCTCCAGCCAGACGCTCAGTACCGCATCTGGATGGGTTTCCAGTGGGGCAAGCATCTGCAGCAGCAGTGCTGATGCTGACGGGTCTGCACTGGGGGTAATAGCTGGTGGTCAGGTGGGTCCTGGAGGTTGAACACTGATTTCAGCTTTCTAGAAGGCCCTCTAAGCATGGGGGCAGTGTAAGAAATAGCTTTCCCTGACCTTGGCCACACTGTCCGGGCTCTGTGGGCAGTGCTGGTGAGAATGACGCTCTCATGTGCACCCAGGGCATGTAGCAGCCAAACTGCTGTTCAAGTCAGGGACTCCTGCTCCTGGAAGAAGTTCCAGCCTTGTGCTCCCAGAGCTGTCCTTCAGGCTTGTTTTCCGTGTGTTTGACACAGAAACAGCCCAAAGACTTAGGCCACTTGGACTTTCTCACTGTGTTTTGTTTCCGTAGCTTGACAGGAGGTTGTGAATTGCTGTGGGGCTGGAGCAGGGTCGGTCTCCCAGCTGGTACCCCATGCCATGGGAGACTTTGGCGGGATCCTCTCTGCCCGGGCTGAGGGCTGACGTGAGGCCCCATTCATCACCATTAGTGCCGAGATGAGCCTTGTCAGCATCTGCAGCGAGGAGGCGGCTGCCTCCTCCGGACTGGCAGTCCCTGCAATTTGCTTCCTAAGGCTGCTTAATTGTTGTTCCTCTTCAGGAGCCCGGCTCAGCCCCCGTGTTTAACATCCTTTGCAGTAGCAGCATAAGCCTGTCTGCTAATGCAGGCAGATCCCACAGTTAATGCCAGGTATGGTGGTGGCAGCTCATGCTTTCATCTCAGACACCAGCCCACCTGGGCTTCCTCTTGCCTAGCGAGAGTTTGGCCTTGTTTAAGCAGTGCTTTGTTAAAGAAGCGTCTGTCTCTACTCCCAAAATGCTCTGGGTCTTTTTCTAAGCCTATTTCATGCTGACATTTATAGCTGCAACTGTGCTGCAAGGATGAAAATCAAGCAGTGTTTGCCCCCTCTTCTCCCCATCCTTTGCCTCCCGTTTTTGCTTTCCCCAGGGCCCAGTTGCGGACAGAGTGCAGAAGCACAAAGCAAAATCCATTTCTTCCCCAGTGCATTGTTTAGCCTATAAAATGCAAAATCCTATCCGTGCTCCAGTGGGGAGGGCTGGAGAGCGCGCAGGTTTGCGGAGTTCCTCTGTAACTAAGATACACTGATCTCAGTGAGTCACAAGAAGTTTTGTGAACATCAGGAAACAAAATCGAAAGCATGAAATGGATGATATTCAGACAGAGAATACATTGCATGCCATTCCCAGATCAAAGTTTATTGCTGTCAGAAATCAGCTCTTAACTTGCATGACTTCTGAGCCTGCAGAGAGAGAGAGAGAGTCTTTGACAGAGCACAGCCCCAGCTAAAGCCAGGAGGTGCCAGGTCTCTGCTGCAGGGAGCTCTGGCACAGGAGAAAGCAGATGTGCATATGCACAGGTTAGAGCAGGCTGCGAGCTATGCTAGCTCTGATGCTGGCAAAAGTCCTGAAAGGGCAGAAGTTGACCAGGCAGGGAATGAGTGGAAGGAAGGAAATCAAATCTAATGGAATGGCAGGACCCTCTGAAGATGAGAGGAGGGACCTGGGCACAAAACCTGTGCGCCCAGGGAAGGCGGCTCTGCTGTGCTGAGTTTTTGCTCCATAGGCAAAGGGAGGGGGATGGATTTGCATTATATTTTGCATAGGGAAGAGCAGCTTTCAAGATGCTGCTGCCTACATGATCTGGAAGGGTCCCAAAGGACGATAATTGGGGGAATAACCAGAGTGCACAAATTTCCCTGGTGGCATCCATGTCCCACCCCTGAGCAGGTGGGGGGGGACGAGGCGAGGGACGGTGACTTAGCTGGGTAAACTTGGGGGCCATGCCACTCCTTTATATTGGCCCCTGGATGGGAATGGAAATGTCCTGAGAGGTTTTGCATGAAGCACCTTTGATGCAGCATATTTACCATCTATTTAGTCTACGACTTTGCTGGTAGAATTGTATTCAGTTTGGAGGACTGGGAGAAGAAATCTGTTGTTAGAATAAGCTGTATCTTCATGAGAGGCTTTGCTGGAAGAGCTCTCCCCAGGACAATAGTACCTGCAAACCCTTTTAAGTATAGACAAGAGAGGTTTAGGAAGCTTTAGGCTTTTCTTGCAGATAAAATTCCTCACATGCCATGTTCCACAGATGAACTGATCCCATCTTAGTAATCTGCTGGTGTTTACGTAGGGCTCAAGTGCTCATGCACCATGTTGTGATTATTGGTGCCTTCTAAAAACCCTGTGGGTAAATGTCTGGCTAGGCAGAAATTCTCCCCCACTCATAACTCATTCCAGACTGAACCTCCCAGGAATCTGTAATAGCTGCTTGGAGACAATTGCAAAAATCTGGCAGTGGGCCTGTCCAGTAAAGCAGTCCTGCATGGACTGTGAAATATCACCTTCATCGTGCCCCCCCCCCCTTACTGGGCAGGCTTGCAGATCACCTTGCCTTTCTTTTCTCTTCCCTTTCCTTTGTCCTGCAGGCTCCAGCAGTGATGCTCTTCCCTCTTGTAACTCCAGCCTTTCGCTGGCCCTTCCTCCCAGCCTGCCTTTAAGTGGGCAAGTCTGTTGGGGGGGGGGGGGGGGACCCCTTGGCAAAGCTCTGCCAGGAGGTGATCAGTCCTCTTCAAGAAAATGGTGCAAGAGCAGCAGGGTCAGAGAGCGTGGCAAGAGTGATTCACCCACAAATTTGCCTGTGTGTGGCACATTTACAACTAGTGCATGGATCCAGGGCAATAAGCCGCATATTTTCTTGGGTCTTCAGGCCTGATGGTGCCTTGGCTTCTGCGCAGACCTTATGAAACTTAGGGACAACAAGTGCAAATAGCTTTTCTTTCCCCCCGTTCTCTTTTTCCACTTGCATAATCATCATCCTGCAAAGCAGGCAAACAAATGTGTAAGGGAATGGAGGAGGTTCATTTTTACAGAAAGCAATTACAGACATTAAAAGAGCTATAGTAATAAAAATAATATTTAAAATTCAAATCCCTTATCTATATTACAAGGGTATTAACATTGGAAGACTTTTTTTTTTTTTTTTCCTGATCTCATTTGCTTTGCAAGTCTATCTAGAAATTTTTATGCCAGTCCTCTGAATTTTGTGGAAACTGATCTGCAATTTTGGAAGTCTGGGTTGGCAGGCTTGTAAACTTCATGACTCAAGGTACAGGGGTAATGATGCTGCTTTGTTACCCTTTCCTACTTATGGCGCTTGCAAGTAACAGTCTTGTCTGGAAGGGGACAGCTTTGTTCAACAGGGGCTTTGGAAAGGGGAGATTGTATCTTCTTTAGATTAGTACAATATTTATTGTCTCAGTGGCTCTTGTTTTGCCAGGTCTTAAAGCATTCAATTAACAGAAATGGCAATCAGGCTGTTAATACAGCTCCTAGCACAGTGGGCTCCCCACTGGGAACTTTGTGCTTTTCCAACCTGTAAGTATAGAGATAAAAAGGCCCAGGTGAGGAAAGGAAAAATGGGGAAAACAGTCCAGAGCACAAGGTGGGTTAAACTTTGGAGTGTGTCTGAGCAGGGCTTATGCAAAACCCACACGGGGAGAGGGATGCAGAAGCAGAGTCCAAACCAGTGGACATCACCAGCAAAACTCCCACAGTTTCCACAGAGCCTGGGTTTTGCCCCACAGCAAATGCACCCCATCCCAGAAAGATGGGACATCCATCCTCTGGGAGCGGGTGGCCCCGGGCATGGCTCTGCTGCTCTCCCTGCCCCACGGCTTTCCTGGGCTCAGGGTCCTGATCTTCTCTGCTATCCTTTCTCTCCAGAAAGCCGATTTGGCCGTGGCAGGGCTGACGATTACTGCGGAGCGAGAGAAGGTGATTGATTTCTCTAAGCCGTTCATGACTTTGGGAATTAGCATTCTCTACCGAGTTCATATGGTAAGAGACTTATTTTATAACCGTTTATGTCCCTCCATTATTTGCATGCAGACGTGCCTAGTTATAGAAGAAAAATGAATGACTCATAAAAATATTTTGATTTCTTATTTAAACGCAAATGTGCTCGACCTTTATTCCCTTCTTTTCCCTGTCTTTCTGCCTTGTGTCAGCTTGGTGGATTCGATTCCCATTGTTCAAACCCCCAGCTCTGTTGGCTCCCCTTCCCCATCCTCCCCGGGCACAGGGCGCTTGCTGGCATGGTGAGGGGCCATGAGCAGAGCCCTGCCAGATCGGTGCTACCAGGAGAAGTGTGGGTAGATGTCAGCTTGTCTGGGTCTGCTTCAGGCACAGCGAAAGCCATAGGATGGCTTTAGCACGGCTTTGAGCCCACTGTGGCGAGGTGTGCTAAGGGCAGGCTGGGCTGGACGGGTGCAGCAGCCCAGCAGCGCAGCTGGGGGGGGTCCACAACTGCAGCAAACGTGGCTTGGAGTCTCCATCCACTTGCACTTAGTGGGGAGACTGCCTGGGAGGCTGAGCTAGGACATCTATGCATGCACCTAGCTGGTGGCGGGGCCCAAATGCCCTAATCTCAGCTGCGTTCCCAGCCTCTGTGGTGTGCAGCCTTGCTGCCTTCTCACGTCAGAGAATAAGATCAGGCCAGGAAGATATCTGGGATCGCTTTCTTTGCTGTGACCTCCTGTAAATGCTCTCCATGGAGCTCAGCCCTCTGCTTTCTTAATCACAGGCAGGTAAAGGGAAAAATGGCACTGCTCGAGTGGCCCAGGGCACTGCCCTGGGGCAGGCAGGGTGGCAGGCTGAACTCCGCCATGGGCAATTATTTCCTTGCCCTGCGTGGGCTCTGTTTCTCTGCTCTCAGCCCTTCTCATTTGCCTCCTCTCAGTTGTTCACCCTAAAGATCGGAAGGCCCTGCAGCCCGAGGAAGGCTCCTTACTCTTAGGGTGCTCCCTGCCTTGCACGGGTGCTCTCAGCCCCCTTCGCTTCTGCATTGGCCAGGTGGGAGCGAGAAGGGAGGCGCGCTGTTGTTTAGCAACTAGCTCTGGTTCTCACTCCACCGCATGCAATAATCTTTTGCAACCCCAGTGGCAGCAGTAGCATGGTTAGCCGCTGCCTCCCGAAAGGCAGGTCAGGCATTACGTGGTGGCTGTTCAGCAACGTGCGGGCCCCTGGCTTGGAGCACAGCAGCTGTGGATCTGCCCAGGGGATTCACGTGTGCAAGCGTGTACGTGGCGTTGCGTTGTGTCCTTGCTTAGACGGCGCTTGTCGTCTTAAATTCTTGTGGATTCTCTCGTATTCCCGTTTTCCGTTGTTCTAGCTTCTTCCTGAAGCTCAGGAGAGGACAGATTTTCCCCAGCTACGCCCACACGGGCCAGGCAAAGCCTCCAGTTCCCCGGTGTCACAGGAGGCGAGCTCTGGCAGCCAGGTCCTTTGCAACAGGATGTCATATTATTCCCAGTCTGCATTTTGGAAATGTGCTCTGTACAGTGCCGAGTGTGATGCAAATGGCAGTCTTGGTTTCCCGTCAGCTCAACAATAGCAGCCAAAAGGATAAAACAATTAAAGCTGCCTCTCCCAGCCCGCTCCTCCCCCCCGCCCCCATTCAGGAGGCTGTTAAAGATGCAGCGTTTGGTATGAACATAAACAAACTTGCGCATACATCTCTCTGTGCTGACTGGCTCCTGCCAAGAACAAACAAGTAATTAAAATCTAGTTAAAATTGTTTCCTCTGGTACGTGCAGAATTTAGGATCGATGACTTAATGGATCAAAAAGGGTCAGCTCTTCAAGATCCTGGAAATCAGATGTAACTGTCCCTTCCCTGCTACACTTGCTTTTTCACACCACCAGCTGCCCCATGGATCTGGGAGGTGTTTCTGCCAGCGTCTCTTGGCTCAGATTATAATTGAGTTTCTTGCTTTCTTGGATGCATTTTTAGAGTTTGGAGATTGAGTACCATGCGTGCTCTGCCTCCAATTTACACCATAACCTTCAGCAAGTCCTTTAACGAGGCATCATTCCCTGAACAGCGTGAGGCTGATGTCGCTCCCTCCAGAGGAAACACAGGAATATTGGTGCAGGGTTTGCATGTGATCTGCTCTATAAGTACAAGGCATTTGCCGGTGCCTCTGTGAGAGCTCAATATGAATGTGTCTGACACATCTACTTAGAGTGTAAGTTCTTCAGGGCAGGGACCATCTGCTGCTTGCGCTGGTACCGGAGTAACGCAACACAGCCATGTTCCAGCCTGCCCTTCAGGCATTTACCGAACTGAACAGGGTTAATAATTACATTCTTAAAAAGTGTTTGGCAAATAGTGCCCTGCCCTCGGTCAGGACTTCGTCTGCAGCTGCCCGATGAAGGACCCAGTTAGGACTTTGAGTAGCGGAGCTGAGCGGTGACCCAGACAGGCTTGCAAGGGAGACGCAGGGCATGTTCCAGGTCAGGTCACCCCGCAGCGTGCCCTGCTTTACTGCATCGAAGCCATGAGGGGCGATGGCAGGGGCAGCCTGGGCTCGTGCCCTCCCCAGGAGCAGGGAGGTCTCCCCAGCAGGGAAGCTTGGAGCCCCCTCTTCCTTCTCCAGCACTTGGCCCTTCTTTGTCCAGACCTTTCCTGCTTAGCTTGAGGAGAGCGTCTGAGAGTGGTGTGGCAATTAACTTATTAAACTGGTAAATATTTATTTAACAAGGAAAGGCAAGATAGCTAATTGCTCTGTTTTCCGTTAAGCATGTTGTTTGCAGAGCAGCGGAAGGCAGCCCCACAGCCCCATCTGCTCCTATCCCCTCCCCTACCTTCCCTTCCCCGCCCCAACAAACATCTCTGCAATGTTAAAAATTGCAGCTGACATATGTTAATCACAGCACAGATCAGATGTAGCCTAATAAATAACCACAAATAAATCTCTTGCTGAGGAGTTGCCTCCACGCCCTGGTCTCCTCCCAATATGATGACATTTTATTTTAATTTCCGTGTAACTCCAGTGGCAACTGATTTCTCCTCCCTTTCTCCTCCCCACCCTGCCAACCCAGCCACCACAGTGCGTGTGTCTCTTATCACACATAACCAAATATGGCAGCTTTAAATGGGCCTGTCATTTTTCTCAATTTCACTTGTTGTGATATAATCAAGTATGGATTTCTGACACGGGGACTCTAATAGGCTTTCTGACTTGCAGGCTGCTAAGAGAAAAGGCTTGCTTTGTTTTATTATGTTCCCATTCTGACCAGCTGGTGGGACCTGTGGAAGGCAGGAGATGGATGACGAGTCCTGAGCAGTCACTCTGCTCGGCAGAGGGCTGAAATCAAGTGCCCAGTGCCATTTCTGCACAGAGGGATGTTGAAAGTCAGGTTTATTTGTAGCATACACATGCTTTTGCTCACATACCTGCCGCTATGGGAGGGAATGAGGGACTAGTTAGCACGTGATTCTGGCTCATCAGCCCTGAAAGTCCTTGCTGTGCTCTACCTTAAGATGAGAAAATGTAGATTTGGTGAGTACACTGGAATAGCTGAGTTGAGGCCAAGTGAACTGAGGCTTAAAGTGTTTCCACTTGATTGCTGCAGAAGACACGAAATGGGAAGGACCGAATGAATAGCTCCTTCATTCCAGCCAGAGGAGGCTTGACAGCTGAGGCAGAGGAGCCGAGAGGAGCTGGGCAGCCCTCCTGACAACCCGTGCTGCTCTGCCAGCAAGCTTCCCGCTTCACTGAAGCAGGGATGGGAGCAACCGCTGGCCCCAGGCGTGCCCGGGACCACGGTACGCATTGGCCTGTCAGTTGTGGACCATCTGGTGACCCCAGATTAGGCTCAGGATTCACAGCAGCCTATACTCGGGTTTTGCTTATCCACTCCAGAGAAAGGACTCTGGAGAGGGAGGGATCTGGATCTGCACCTGGATCAGACGTGGTCGTCCTAGAACATACACGCTTTGTTTTGGTGAGACCGAACGCACTACAGTTATACCTAGCACGCATCAACATTTCTGCCTTTCCAGGCTGAGTTTCCTTGCTTTCCTTCGGACTTAGAGAGACAGAAGAGAGTTCTCTTGCCTGCCTTTTTTAGGGACAAACGTCCATGAGAAATGACAGAGGTAGGGCTGACTGTTTCTGCGAGAGGGAACAGGCGAGCACGGGGGACCATTCAGACTGTGTGTGTGTCCAGAGCAGGCAGGGAGTCTTAAGGTCTCTTAAGGACCTGAACACAGACAAATCCAGGACCATGCCACATAGCTTTGCTCCTCTTCCCGGATGTCCTGCACGTTCAGGCTCTTGGATCACCAGTATCTGCCCAGAAAACTGGTTCTCTCTGGCTGAAAATGAAGACTTCCAAGAACAACTGAGGAGGGTAAATGAATCTCTCCTGCTTCCATCTGAGGATTTGCAGGAGGCCTTCATCAATTATTGGACATTTTGAACATTTCTATTCCAGGAAAAATAGCTCTTCCAATTAACAAAGCTGTATTGGGACCGGCTAAAAATATCTGACAGACTCCAGATATTGTCATTCCCATCTTCAAAACAGACAGATAAGAAAGAGTTTGTGCCCTCCATGGGAACAGAATATCTTTATTCTTACCCACAACTGTGAATGAAAAGAATATGTAGCAGCAGCCTGAAAATGACTGTAGCTGAAAAGAACCAGAACTACTACTACTGTAAAGTCACAGGAGAGAGTCATTGCCAAGCCTGAGACTTAAAGCTTCCAACGCAATTTCCTTAATGAGTGTAATTTATTGACAAACTGCCCCAGAAACATAGAGAAGGCATCAAGGCCTTAATTACAGAAAGGACCTTTGTTACAGGAGCATCTCACAAGGGAGCCTCAGCTGAGGCAGCGCCAGTGCCTGGGAGTTTTCTGCCAGCTCTGGGATGCTGGGGAAGGATGAGCTTCCTGGAATGATCTTCTGCTCAAGAAGCTCCAGTTTTCTTAGCTGAGGGCAGATGGTGCCCTTCGCACCTTGCTGGTTCCCATTGCCTCATTTCATTCTTGAGAGTGCAAAACACCTGTGAAAGAAGAGAAGCAGCTGAGCCAGTTTAGCTCTAGATGAAAAAGGGAACCAAGGGCCTGTGGGGCACCCAGGAAAGCCGTGCAGTCGCTAAAGAGAAGAGCTTTGACATCGCCTACCTTTGGCTTCCTGCTGGCATCAAGAAGTCCATGACTGTCTGGATGGGATCAGCAAGAAGTGCAGAGGGAGCGCACCTTGGAGCCTGCAGACTTGTGAGATGGTCTCGTCTCTGTGAACTAGTGAGAGGAGCTCCAGCAAGGTGAGCAAAGGACGTTACTGGAAATGCGAGTCCCGCTGGGATGCTGGGGGTATGGTTTCCAGCAGAGTCTCTGGCTCTGAAAGCCTTTGGTTTGGGCCCAGATGCTGGCTGTAGCAGTCATTTGTCTCTCTCTGGGTTTTGGGGAAGAATATAAGGAAAAGCAGAACACAGCAGCAATTGACCCAAAAAAGGGAAAGGAAAAAAGAACATAGGATCTTTCACTGTTTGTACCTCAACTGCTTATACCAAGCACAGTAAGATAACCTGGTATGGAAGAGAGACCTTGTCTTAAAGAGACACTCTGGAATTATACCCAGGAGAACCTGAACCTTTGCTTGGGAAGTGACTTTAAATTAATCTGAAAATGGGTGCAGGATGGTCTGAACCACTGATTCTTAACTCATCCATTTGTTAAAAGGCTTAATAAGCCAGATTCTCTAAAAATGCTACTATATATCCCAAGCTCAAACTCATCTTGCCCTTAAGGATACAGGGATAGGATGTTATGGTGTGGTGGTCCTTTACTTCATGCAGGGCAGAGTTTGCTGTAGAAGGTTTCTGAGATGTTACGGTCCCAGCTGGTGACTGAAGCTGAGAATATCACAGTATCCTAGATATTTTTAGTACAGGAAGATCTTTGTGCAACAACTATTGCCTTTTCTAGCAACAACTTAGTCTTCAGAAGAACTACCAAGACCTTGTGAAATTCAGGTTTTGCATAAGATTAGGAATACCTCAGTAGTAAACCAGTGGTTTTTAATGGAAATGGAGTTTAAAGTGCTGGTCTGAGTCTGGGGAAGGAAAAAAAAAAAGCAGCTGTGCTTCCTGGGGACTTTTGTGAAAACAGAAAATTATTCACCACCTTTGGATTAAGCACAGCTCTAAAATATCAGGACTCTGGTCTTTGATGGCTCTAGGTTTGCCATGGCGATTGAGGTTAGGTGTTATTTATTACCAGCTATTATTAGTTTATGTGGTGTCACAGACGGGCAGGGTAAGGCAGCGGACTAGGGAAAAATGAGGCCTCTGTGTGTCAAAGATGATCCCCGGCAGCAGCTTTTGTGTAAAGCGAGCAACCTACAGAGGAGCAGCTGCCGTGCTGCAACTGCTGGGAAACGGCTGCTGGAGTGAGCTGCATTGAGCAAACAGTGATAGATGTTTTCAGCACACAACAGAGCAAGGTGCCAGCAAGAAATACGTTGACAGCCTGGCCAAGATGTGATAAAAGGCTGTTTCCATTCTGACTTTACAGTAAAAGCCTTCATAGGACCTCTGACTCGTGGGCAGCTTCCCAGTTGCAGGTGCTTGGGAAAACTGTAGAGCTTGAGGTTTTGTGATGCCAGGAGTGGCTTTGTGGTTTGGGGCAGAAGATACAGGCTCCTGTGAGCCAAGGGCTTATATTCCCACAGGGTTAATGTAAGCCTTTAGCCCTGTGTTGGGAGTTGCGTGCTTTTGCTGGGAGTCTTTCAGAGGAGGCGGTAAGGAAAGAAGATGCCTAAGGTAGATGAGCGTTGCCCAAACGCTGCAAGCATTTGGGGTGCGAGAGGTGCGTCGGGGTGCACAGTGCTGAATGAAACAAAACGCTTGCTGCTCCACACGGGGATTGTAATTTGCACAGAGAGTAAGAACACTTCTTTAGTCCTGTGGCTTGTGCTCTATTTTTACCTCTGCCCTTGTCCCCCACAGTGGCATTCAGTGTGCTTGACGCCACCAGTGTCTGTGTTGCAGAGATGGTGGTGGTGGGAGAAGTACACTCACCAAAATGGGAGGTGTTCAGCTTTTGAGAAACTTCACCTAGAAACTAATCCTCCCTTTGCACAAATTTTGCTACATTTGACAAGATTTCAGTGGTGGCAGTGTCCTTGTGAAAATTCAAGGTACTTTGAGTGAAGATCAACAAGCTTTTTCTAGCAGTGAGGCCTTACTTTTCAAGGAAAGGTGGTTTGCCGAGAAAAAACAGGAAATTCTGACGCATCCTGGAGATAAAAATACCGTGTTCCCTGAGATAAAAGTAATAATTTTATTGGGTTTTGCAGAGAAGAAACATTTCAAGGCTGAAGAAAGAAAACCAGAAATCTTGCAAGCGTCTCTTTTTTTCTTTGTGTGCGCAAAAATATTTTCTCCCCACTCTGCTTCGTGCAAAGGATCCCACCCACCTCCGAGCTCAGGTGTGCTCTCCTGCCCAGCAAGCGTGGTGTGCAGCCTGCTTGGGTGGACAAGGGCTCCAGATGGGGACTTCCCTATCGGGGGGCAAGGGGTGGAGGGCAGAGCACTGCGATTGTCTTGATTTTTTTTTTTTCCTATCAATTCACCTCTTTCTTTGCCTGGAGGAGCAAAAGTAGTTGAGGTGGGGAGAAGAATAGTCTTAGGAGATGAATCACAGCGGGGACATGCTGCAAGGCTTGGTCATTTGTTGCATTTGCTGTCACCCGTTTCCCCTGCAAGGCTTTTGCAAAGCCCTATTTACTTTATTTCCCTTCCGTTGCTCCCATCCACTGTCAGCATCGGGGCAGGTGTGTTTCTTTCTGTTGTTTTCAGAATGGACTACTTAATTTGTAGAAATACAAGCAGGTCAAACTCCTTTTTGTTTCTCTTCCAGGGCCGCAAACCTGGTTACTTCTCATTCCTGGATCCTTTTTCCCCTGGCGTCTGGCTCTTCATGCTGCTCGCCTACCTGGCTGTCAGCTGTGTCCTCTTCTTGGTTGCTCGGTAATGTGACTGGCAGTGCCTTTTCCTTCCTCGCGGTGCCATCTAGCGTCCCGCTCCCAGACCCATGGGGGGATGCAGGGTGAGGGGCTGGGCAGGGGGACACAGGGACATCCACCAGGCCACTGGTGTCCAAGCGTCCAAGCCCTCTGCCAGCTGGGGACTGGGGTTTTGCCGCTGCGTTCCCTTGCAGGCACGTCACCGACGCATATGGCAGCCCCGGGATGGCCGTTGGCATGGCTGTGACAGGGCGGGCAGCAGCAGCGTGCTGCGATTCAGGAACGTGCTTGGCCACGGTGGTGGGCGCTGGTGCCAAGAGCCGCGTGGGAAGGGTGGGGAGGAGGTTTGGGAGTAGGGCTAGTGCTGTGCAAATGGTTCTGGTCCCTGTAGATGCTTGATCTGCAAACAGGTTAACCAACCACTTGTCTTGACCAGGAAGGGTGGAGGCTGGCAGGTACCAGCAAATGCATTCAGAGATGATTAATTCAGAATTAATGCAAATTCCAGTAGTGATGTTTGCTTCCTCTGGCCCTGTAAAACCCAGTGTGTACAGAAAAAGAAAGTTCATTAATATCTTTCAACAGCCTCTTGGTTGATGTGCAGAGCCTCACTTGACAGCTCTCAGTTCCGTTTCCCTATGACTAATTTAAATCAGCCTTAAAATATATCACTGTGTGCTTGTCTGCAGCATGTCTTTCATCGAGGCCCGGGGTCCGTGCTCCATTGCTGTCTTCCTTGACCTGCTAACAAACTGCTTATGGTTGGTGGCATAGACGGGTCTTTTCAGACAGAGTTGAACTGTGTCCCAGCAATGTGTACCGAAGACGTGCTCAGGGCTTGACGGCTCTTTCGGGACACGGTTAATACCCAATTCTCATTACAAAAATTGGAACTGTGCTATCACTCGGTCCCTTGGCATGGCTAAAGTTGTCATCCTGACAGGACTTTAATGGTTTCTTCGAATGCTGTTACAGCCTCAGAAATGTAGTTCTGAAGAAACCGTTGAATAATGCAGTCTGACACTCTCTGCAGACCGAGATTTGGTGCCTTTTTAGCCCCCTCCTCATGTTTTAAACATAATCCTCCAAAGAGGTGCCTTTACATGGCTTCCTGCTGGAGAAGGGGGTTTGGACACTGCTCTCTGCCTTGCTCAGTAGTAAGGAGCTTTTGACCCTATGAATTGCAGAAGACTTTCCCAGATTTTTTTACTGCCAGGGCTTGATCCAACCATAGAAAATCTTCAAGAAATAACCTGTGCCTCCCTGGCATCACAGTGAGGTAGGAGATGCAGAAATGAAAATAAACACCTTATTTTGGTTAAATGCTGCGTAAGCTGGCAGAGCCCTGCAGCTGTATTGGCAATATCCCCAGAACGACCTTCCCAGGCACCAGCTTTGTTAACCATTAGCAATATAATGAACTGCAGCACAGGAATTAGAAGACTTTCTTAGCAACCAGAGAACTGAGGATTGGAAACGGCAAAAAAAGAGAGCTTCTGTGACAGGCTGTCAGTTATTTCAGATTGCTACCCCTGTCCTGTCCTAGTGAGCACTGAAAGTACATGATGCTTTGAAACACCAGCACTTGGCTTCAAACTAGACCTGGGACCTAGACCTTGCCAGGGCAATCAGACCTTCTCAGAGAAACCATTTGCACCAATACAGTTATTTTTCTTGATGGTGTCATGCAGTCAGGTCTCGCACGCTTCACTTTTGAACTTCCCATTGATGCGCATTCTCCAGTCGGGATCACAGCCAAAGATGTTTGATTTTAATTTCACATCAAGTCTGTGCACATCTTGAATTATTGTTGTGGTTCTCTGCAGTATGAATTTGCACGCAGAGCTCCAGCCTCCCCACAGCCCATGCCCAGATTTTCCGCAGAGCCTCTCAAAACTTTTGCAAATCTTTACAAGAAAGCCTCTGGCTTTTGAGTCTTAGAGCAAGCATTTCACACAGCTCTGAGCCCTGGGCATCAGTTGACAGCAAAGAGTTTCCTCCTCAGAAAAATGGGCCTCCAGGAGAGTTAGGGCTTCACAGCTTTGCCTTTTTTTTTTTTTTTTTTTTTTTTTTTTTTTTTTTCCTTCTCCGAAGTGCCCCATTTCCCAGTGAATTGCCTGAGCTACCTGTTTCTTGTCATTTTAGATTGACACCGTACGAGTGGTACAGCCCCCACCCCTGCTCGCAAGGCAGATGCAATCTTCTCGTGAATCAGTACTCTCTTGGCAACAGCTTGTGGTTTCCAGTCGGGGGATTCATGCAGCAAGGCTCCACCATTGCCCCCCAAGCATTATCTACGCGCTGTGTCAGTGGAGTCTGGTAAGGAGGCCTACCCTCCTCTTAAGCAAGGCTTCTCTGTGGATCTTTTCTGGGCAGAAGCAGATGGAGAGGCACAGGGTGGGGATGGGGATCAGATTCAGTCCATGGGGAAATCTCAGGTCACTGTCTTTGCTTCACCTTTCCCTAGGTGGGCATTCACCTTGATCATCATCTCCTCCTACACAGCCAATCTGGCAGCCTTCCTCACTGTGCAGCGGATGGACGTCCCCATCGAATCCGTAGATGACCTGGCTGACCAGACAGCCATCGAGTACGGCACCATTCACGGTGGATCCAGCATGACCTTCTTCCAAGTAAACCCCATTCTTTTGCTAACTAGGGCAGGGGTGCAGAGGGCACCCTGTAATCAGGTTTGGATGTCACCCCAGCCTGTCATGCCTGTTTTATTCCAGTTTCTGGCATGGAGGGGACCTCTGGAGAGACCCCTGGCTGCTTGGTTGCGCAGGACTGGGCTGGATCCACAGTGGGTGATGGTGGGATGAATGGTGGAGGAAGCATGGTGGAGGACAGGGAAGGCAGGATTTTGTAATGCAGCAGCTGGCATGCTCTTGGGGTGTTGGAGGACTAGAGTCAGGACATCTGTGCTGCACCCTGAAGCAGCAGATTTTCCTGCTTGGACTTAGAAAGCAACTTAACACTTGGAGTGCCACCACGTGGGTGGGAAAGTGGTATGCATCCCTGTGTCACAGTGATGACATAACATGCTCTTCAGCAGCTGAGCGTCTGCAGTCAAATTTCCATGGGTCTCTATGTGGGTTTGATGTGATCTTAGCTTTTACATGAAAGTGTCAGGTTGGGTAAGCAAAGAAAAGTTTGCAAACCCCAGGTAGGCTAGCATATGTCAAACTGCTGGAGTCTGTCTGTGGTCAGCTGCACTGAAAACAAGTCAGTCAAGTGTATGAAAACTTACGTGGGCCATTTAGCCCAATTTAATTTTTATCTTCCCTGCTCTATTCAGAAGGGAAATAAATGAGTGAATCTTTTCTGCAGTGCTCTGAATGCACAAAGAACTGCTTGAGGATTATTTATTTATTACTTGTTGAAATTCTGAGAGGAGATAAAGCTTTTCTCACTGCCCGCCCCCCCCCCCCCCCCCCACGAAGGCCATAG